CCAGCCACGTTTCATCTTCAATGCCCTTGCTGATGGAAGGAGGTTTTCACTCAAAATCTCACGATACATGGCCCCATTCATTCTTTCCTTTACACGGATCAGTCGTCCTGGTCCCTTTGCAGAAAAACAGCCCCAAAGCATGATGTTTCCACCCCCATGCTTCACAGTAGGTATGGTGTTCTTTGGATGCAACTCAGCATTCTTTGTCCTCCAAACACGACGAGTTGAGTTTTTACCAAAACGTTATATTTTGGTTTCATCTGACCATATGACATTCTCCCAATCCTCTTCTGGATCATCCAAATGCACTCTAGCAAACGTCAGACGGGCCTGGACATGTACTGGCTTAAGCAGGGGGACACGTCTGGCACTGCAGGATTTGAGTCCCTGGCGGCGTAGTGTGTAACTGATGGTAGGCTTTGTTACTTTGGTCCCAGCTCTCTGCAGGTCATTCACTAGGTCCCCCCGTGTGGTTCTGGGATTTTTGCTCACCGTTCTTGTGATCATTTTGACCCCACGGGGTGAGATCTTGCATGGAGCCCCAGATCGAGGGAGATTATCAGTGGTCTTGTATGTCTTCCATTTGCTAATAATTGCTCCCACAGTTGATTTCTTCAAACCAAGCTGGTTACCTATTGCAGATTCAGTCTTCCCAGCCTGGTGCAGGTCTACAATTTTGTTTCTGGTGTCCTTTGACAGCTCTTTGGTCTTGGCCATAGTGGAGTTTGGAGTGTGACTGTTTGAGGTTGTGGACAGGTGTCTTTTATACTGATAACAAGTTCAAACAGGTGCCATTAATACAGGTAACGAGTGGAGGACAGCGGAGCCTCTTAAAGAAGAAGTTACAGGTCTGTGAGAGCCAGAAATCTTGCTTGTTTGTAGTGACCAAATACTTATTTTCCACCATAATTTGCAAATAAATTCATTAAAAATCCTACAATGTGATTTTCTGGATTTTTTTTTCTCAATTTGTCTGTCATAGTTGACGTGTACCTATGATGAAAATTACAGGCCTCTCTCATCTTTTTAAGTGGGAGAACTTGCACAATTGGTGGCTGATTAAATACTTTTTTTCCCCACTGTATGTGTCTGTCCCTAACAGGGTGGAAATATCCCATGGTCCATGTGTGAACAATCCACCTACACTACGAGTCAAAACTTTTAGAACACCTACCCATTCAAGGGTTTTTCATTATTTTTTACTATTTTCTACATTGTAGAATAATAGTGAAGACATCAAAACTATGAAATAACACATATGGAATCATGTAGTAACCAAAAAAGTGTTAAACAAATCAAAATATATTTTATATTTGAGATTCTTCAAATAGCCACCCTTTGCCTTGATGACAGCTTTGCACACTCTTGGCATTCTCTCAACCAGCTTCCTGAGGTAGTCACCTGGAATGCATTTCAATTAACAGGTGTGCCTTCTTAAAAGTTAATTTGTGGAAATTCTTTCCTTCTCAACTTTTACGGGATCGGTGTCCCGTATACGGGACGGTTGAGCTAAGGTGCACTAATGTGATTAGCATGACTGTTGTTAGTAACAGCAAACTTTCCAGGACATAGACATGTCTTATATGGGCAGAAAGCTTAAATTCTTGTTAATCTAACGCTACTGTCCAATTGACAGTAGCTATTACAGTGAAAAAATACCATGCTATTGTTTGAGGAGAGTGCACAACAACAAAAAACTTATCACGGCAACTGTTTTGATACATTCTCCTCTGAAGGTAAATAATGTACTTACATTCAGTAATCTTGCTTTGATTTGTCATCCTAAGGGTCCCAGAGATAAAATGTAGCATAGTTTTGTTTGATAAAATCCATTTTTATATTCAAATGTAGGAACTGGGTTCTACAGTTTGAACCCATGCTGTCTCTGGCTCCACACCCACCCGGCCTGGCCATCTAGATGTGTGAAAGTTAATGTATAAGCTAATGATCCATCATGTATGACATTCCTGGGAGTGTGTAAACTTACATTTTGTATTACCATATAATTTTTGTATGTTCTCTATAGTTATGTACTTGAAAATGTATCAATTGACCAATTCTGGCACATTTGGGCAGACGTGATACAAAATAGTCCAGTATTGCAACGCTTCACTGGGTCAATTTGAATCTTTGCACACATACTGCTGCCATCTAGTGGCCAAAATCTAAATTGCATCTTAACTGCAATATTTCCTTTCTCTTGCATTTCAAAGATGATGAAAAAAACACACACAAAAAACATGTTTTATTTTTATTTTTATCTTTTACCAGATCTAATGTGTTATATTCTCCTACATTTAGTTCACATTTCCACAAACTTCAAAGTTTTTCCTTTCAAATGGTATCAAGAATATGCATATCCTTGCTTCAGGTCCTGAGCTACAGGCAGTTAGATTTGGGTATGTCATTTTAGGTGAAAATAAAAAAAAAGGGTCCGATCCTTAAGAGGTTAAAGCGTTTGAGCCAATCAATTGTGTTGTGACAAGGTAGGGGTGATATACAGAAGATAGCCCTATTTGGTAAAATACCAAGTCAATATTATGACAAGAACAGCTCAAATAAGTAAAGAGAAACGACAGTCCATCATTACTTTAAGACATGAAGGTCAGTCAATCCGGAAAATTTCAAGAACTTTGAAAGTTTCTTCAAGTGCAGTCGCATAAACCATCAAGCGCTATGATGAAACTGGCTCTCATGAGGACCGCCGCAGGAATGGAAGACCCAGAGTTACCTCTGCTGCAGAGGATAAGTTAATTAGAGTTACCAGCCTCAGAAATTGCAACCCAAATAAATGCTTCACAGAGTTCAAGTAACAGACACATCTCAACATCAACTGTTCAGAGGGGACTGTATGAATCAGGGCTTCATGGTCAAATTGCTGCAGAGAAACCACTGCTAAAGGACACCAATAAGAAGAAGAGACCTGCTTGTGCCAAGAAACATGAGCAATGGACATTAGACCGGTAGTAATTTGTCCTTTGGTCTGGAGTCCAAATTGGAAAATGTTGGTTCCAACCACCGTGTCTTTGTGAGACGTGGTGTGGGTGAACGGATTATCTCTGCATGTGTATTTCCCACCGTCAAATATGGAGGAGGAGGTGTTATGGTGTGGGGGTGCTTTGCTGGTGACACTGTCTGCGATTTAACCAGCATGGCTACCACAGCATTCTGCAGCGATACGCCATCACATCTGGTTTGGGCTTAGTGGGACTATCATTTGTTTTTCAACAGGACAATGACCCAACACACCTCCAGGCTGTGTAAGGGCTATTTTACCAAGAAGGAGAGTGATGGAGTGCTGCATCAGATGACCTGGCCTCCACAATCCCCTGACCTCAACCCAGTTGAGATGGTTTGGGATGAGTCGGACGCCAGAGTGAAGGAAAAGCAGACAACAAGTGCTCAGCATATGTGGGAACTCCTTTAAGACTGTTGGAAAAGCATTCCAGGTGAAGCTGGTTGAGGGAATGCAAAGAGTGAGCAAAGCTGTCATCAAGGCAAAAGGTGGCTATTTGAAGAATCTCAAATATAAAATACATTTTGATTTGTTTATATATATTTTTTTTTTAACCAAACGTTATGAGGTCCAAAAGGGATCTTAATGGTAGAAATGACCCAGCTAGCTAATAACAGATCACTTCATTATGGCTAGTTAACAAGCGAACTTTAAGGGGATAAAGTAGATGACTATATCCAAATATTGTTTGATTTGCTTGCCATCTATAGTGGTGATGAGTGATGACAGTAGGAAAACGGACAACTTTACCAGGACAAGGACTTGCCGATGTCAAGATCTCTCCAAAAACCTAATCTCTGATGAAGCAAGCTAATTATTATGTTGTTTGCTTAGCTAGCTAAATGCCAAATGGATAGGCACCTTCACGTATCTGAAATGACGTGATTATTGATGTTTACTGATCATGAAAAGCATGCAGTTACTTGCTGTATAACTCTGATAATAAAGATAAATGTGCACAATTGTTTTGCATTCGGAAATGTGTAGTTCTGACTATGCTCAATAGGTGATGATATTAAAACCAAATAGTTATAACATTTATTTAACAATCCCTTGAAAACGGCATGTAGTTGTCAATGGTTTTAGCGGAGCTGGGGTCGGTCTCTTTGGCCCCCATCAGCCAAATCGAAGGTATTGTGACGTTTTCTTGAAAATACCCATAGAAATAGAATGAATAGAACGGGTTGGACGCTCTAAACCTGGCAATTTGACTGGTAAACTCATGGGTACACTCGCAATGGCTGCATGGTATTGTGATGCAATAATTTCCATGTTATTTTGGAATGTTCTATCAACTGATGCTGGATTGCCATGGTAATGTAGAATGTCCATTCAAATCATGCAAACTGATGTGGGTCATGCAATGGAACGTCTTTTTTTTGTAATTTTCTTAACAAATCACAGCACAGATTGAAGGGTACACTTCGTGCTTTTATTTCCTGCCATTTCCTTCTAATTATGCCATCATTGACTTAAACGGAGATGCCCGTTCTATTAATGATATTTCTATGGTAATCCATCCTCCCCTAGTCTACTGCAGTTCCATTAAAGGCTGGGAAGACGAAAAACGCCGTTAATTAGAACTTTGAGCTTCAGCCCTGTATTTTTGGCACAAGAAAATACCCATTTTGCCTGAGGAAAGAATTGGAAATAGTGCGGGTAGAATATAATTCAGTTGGCATATTCGTAGAATTGACCAGACAATTGTTTATGACAATAAGTGTTTAAATGGTTACTGTATCATAAACAATGACATCTTACAAAGAGAATGAGAATGAATGATAACGGCAACAAACCCTCCCGATACTTTTGAGAAGTTTGTATTGATTGCGCTGCAAGTTATTGAACAGATAATGTTAGGCTACGTGCGCCTTTCAGCTCGTGTGTTCAGGAGGTCAGGGTACTGGACAGCTCCTTGCCTAAATCAGACGGGAGGAGCCAAGCGTGGACCACTATGCAGTCTCCTCTATCACACAAAAACCTCCGGTCTGAATAGCTACACTGCCGTCTTTATTCCAGTAAATATAGTGCCATGCTTGGACGCATCCAATATGACTGACTAGCTAGGGGAACAACTAAGCGACATAGGTAAAATGTTGTATGCAAAGTTATTGATTTAATAGTGAAGATTTAGGTTAATATCGGAACGTTTTAGGATATAGTTCTGCTTGTCGCATTTTCGTTTGTGCTCTTGCCTAATTGGGTATCCAATGCTATTTAGCGCGTGATGTGTAGGCTATTCTTTCAGAACAAGGGCATGACACATTTTATTTCAGGTCCGATGTTGAATGCCCGCATATTTGATGCCTGCATCAACTTTTCAACTATGTCAACCTGTTCTTTGGAGACGAGAGACTGGACGTGCAATAGGTTATCTTACAAACCCTGTCGTTATTTTTGACAGAGAAAAGAGAAACTGTGCTGCGACTTGACAAATGCCTATTTTACAGGAGAAGAAGAATGCTGAAAATCAGTATGTGCCTGAGAACATTTGGGTTATTTCTGGTCTTGAGTGTTGCCATCACTAAAGGTAATTTTACCACATCATCCATTACAGTCTAACAGGTGTAACAATAGTACCTAATTACATAGAGGCTGTCATTGAGATTTAATAACTTAATAATAAACCACTTACTAGCTGCGAGTATTTTCCTTTTAATTGATTGTTCTGTTTTATCTTTGAGGTCTTTGAAAAAAGCAATTCATAGCTAATCTCGTGTTTTCTCTTTCACATATCCAAGCTTTTGAATGCAGCGCAGGGTGCAATCCTGAAAACGGCTACTGTGAAAAGCCTGGGGAATGCAGGTAATTAAATCCTACACAAATTATGTAATAGATATCATCGGATTATGTAACATTTTTGTAGCAACCATGTTTCATTAACATAAGCAGCCCATTTTCATCCTATTTCACTCCATTTCCACAAAGTCAAGTCGGCACAGACCAAACAAAAATAATGTTTTTCATCCTGCTAATTCCAAGTCAGATGTATTGTTTACAAATATATCAAAATCCACATTTTCCTAATCAATTATACAGTTATACACCCTGTGGAAACATCCAATAATAGTCCAGCTGTGTGAGAAAAAACATGTGTGAATAACAATGGTCCCATCATCTGAATCATGTTTTCAGATGCAAACCAGGCTGGCAGGGGGTAACATGCAAACAGTGCATGCCCTTCCCTGGCTGTCTTCATGGCACTTGTGAGAAAGCATGGCAGTGCATCTGTGAAGAGGGCTGGATGGGGAGCCAGTGTGACCAAGGTGGGTATCTGTGAAGGTGGGTATCGTATATGTGAAGAGGGCTGGATGGGGAGCCAGTGTGACCAAGGTGGGTATCTGTGAAGGTGGGTATCGTATATGTGAAGAGGGCTGGATGGGGAGCCAGTGTGACCAAGGTGGGTATCTGTCCAATCCACTTTTCTCTCAAATGTCAGTCCTGACCATGAGAATAAGGTATGATCCCATAAGACACAGCTGAATGATCCACTGATAGCACAGACTAAATTTAATCTTTAATATACTGTATATTTATATACATTGACATGACTTCCTTTACCTCGAGCTGAAAGAGAAAGCATCTGTTTGAGGGTGGAAAGATAAAGAAAATAGTATTTCCTGTCTCTGATGGCTCTATGTGATCCACTTACTTAAAGACACCATGGTGGGGAGGTGTCAAATGTAGTCTACTTGTCACTGGTTCGTTTGTTTTCAATTTACCTTGTGACGATAACATTATAACAGGTGTGTGTGTGTGTGTGTGTGTGTGTGTGGTGTGTGTGTGTGTGTGTGTGTGCGGATGTGTGTGATGACCTCTCCCAACAACATACTATCGACTTTTTCCAGACACCAACCAGTGCTCATCTAAACCATGCACTGATAACTCCACATGCATTCAAACTGGCCAGGGAGGATACCTCTGCATTTGTCTGCCTGGTTACACAGGAGAGAGCTGCCACCTGAAAAAGGGACCATGTCTAACAAACGGGTATGAAAATCTGATATGGTTTGCATTATCTTCATTAAAACCTTCAATTAAACTCTGGGAAACCGCTTAATCTCTAAAGCTTTTTCAATAGATTAGGTGCTATTGAATCCATTGGAGGATCAACCCTTCCGCCTTTCAAATGGACACAGGCTTGTCTCTGGAGACTGATAGATATACAGCCTGTCTAACGGCCACAGTCTCACTGAATCCCACTATGGTTGCTCTTTGTAACACTGACCTGTTATTGACTTTGAGAGGACCCCTACCCGAAATTCAATACAGCTCTGTCTGTGGGTCCTTTCTCTTCAGATGAAAAGCAATAATGTCAGTTCTATTTAAATCCTCTAACTGAAAGGACATTTGCATGGAGATGTATAGTACCTTTCTTTTTTGGGGACTCTGAGAATGACTCCTAAACACTGAGCCTACATTGGAGCTCATGAATCATGGCTCTTCATTAAGCTTTGAAAGAAGGACCAAAAACCGTCTGGTGAATGTCTAGAGTGAATGTCTAGAGTGAATGTCTAGAGTGAATGTCTAGAGTGAATGTCTAGAGCAAGCAGCCATTGTTATCATTGCCTTCTGCTATAGCACTCACTGTGTATAACAGCATTAGGATTAAACAGGCATACTGTTTGAACGGCTGTGAGCATGTGGCTGTGAGCACAGTACTGGCTAACAACAAAATATATAATTTGAATGGTCTTACACATGTATGACCAATACAGTGCAACACAACCTCTGAGATGTGACCGCTAAATTAAAGAAAAATCTAAAAAATCTCTTGAGCTCTTGTATGTTGCCATAATCCGTGGTACAGTTTTATACTGTGGACTTTAGAGAGAAATCAAAGTGAACTGCTTTTCCCTTCAGCTCTCCCTGCCAAAACGGTGGCACCTGCGCCGACGCCGATGGCTTGGCAGCCTACCCCTCCTGCTCCTGTCCCCTCGGATTCGCTGGAGACTTCTGTGAGATTGACACTGACAGCTGTGATCCCAACCCCTGCCTCAACGGGGGCAACTGCACCGACTACGGCCCTGCGTTCACCTGCACCTGCCCCGCGGGCTTCGACGGCCCCACCTGCAACAACACCCATGTGGACCCCCTCTCCCCCTGTGCTAGCACCCCCTGTGGGAACGGGGGCACCTGCGTGGTGGGGAGCCAAACGAACAGGACTGGGGCGTACCATTGTCTGTGCCTCCCAGGGTGCACCTTTACTGAGCATGAATGTATGCCTACCCAGCAGCCACACAGGCCCAAAGGCAAACTCAGGCCGGCCAAACTCTCCGGCATGGGTCTTTCCCCACAACACTACAGCATACCTGCCCACGCCTTCCAGAAACTACTAAGGCCCCCCGAGAGGGACCTTCTCAAGATCCCCCTGAAGGAGACGGTTCACTCGACCTCTGCCGCCAGCCTGGTCACCCGCAGTCAGCTCATCTGTTTCGGGATGCTGGGCCTGCTCACCTGCCTGGTGATCCTGGGAACCACAGGTATTGTCTTCTTCAACCGCTGCGAGACGTGGATGGCCAACGCCAAGTACAGCCATCTGGTGCGCCAGCAGAGAGAACATCTGTTGAGAGCCAATTACGGTGAGGATGAGGGGGGCCACTCTGTCAACATCATCCTCCCTGAGAAGATCAAGCTCACCAGCTTTGGGAAACACTACACATCTATCTGACATGTTGGTCTTTCGACCGACCGTCTGCATAAGGAGTGTGTTTGAGTGTGCAAGGACACCTACAAAACCAGTGAAGGAGGTCATGGATTTCAAATAGATTTTTAAAGAGAAAACGGAGGTTCCCTCTCTGAAAAATGCAGTTATTCTATTCTAATGTGATCCACTGTATGTGGAACTTTCCTTAAATAAGAGGATTGAGGACTTAACCGTGTCCTGATACTAAGATGTACAGGTACTGTACCTGGAGAAGAAGGTCAAGAATGTGTGCCTGCCGAATTTCAGGACATCCACATCGTTTTTATTTCTTTCAGATGTTACCTTATAACATAGAAGGGCTTTTAAAGCAAAATAACCAAAACAACTGATTTAATTATTCAATGTTTGATGCTGCAAGCTTTTGATCTGAACTAATTGAATGTTTTACTTTCCTCCTTTATACTGTAGACAATTATGCATCAAATCGTGTTCAAATTTCAGACTTTAAGTTACAATTACAATTGGCTAATCCTGTTGTCGATATGCTGATATTTTGGACTAGGACCAGTCAGTGCTTTTGAGGGTTTGATTCTATTTATATTCAGATTGCTGTACTTATTTGTCTTCTACGTATTGTTATTAGTGGAGTACATTTGCTTTTACATTTCAAGTGAACCACATTTTTGCATTTATACTGCTTTTTAGTTTTGATTGATTGAATCTTATTATACAAATATTATCCAAAAATCAACAAGTATTGTCAATCTGTAATGAACATAATACAATTGTTACGTACCACCAGTAGTGAATGCTATAGTACTTTAGATATTTATCCCATTTTATGTCTAAATAAGTATTATTTCAAAGCACTCAACTCTATAATTCAGCAAGTGTATTTACAAATATTAATGTGACTGCAAACTCCTGCTTTGAACAAATCTCCATCCAATTTCTGATATGATTTCATACCACAACACAAACATCGACCCCTGCAGTATGTTTGAGGGCAAAATATGATTAACTGTGGGTGGCTTTAGTTTACTTTTCCAGGCCAAGAAAATGTGGGTTGGAGCCATTAATCACTGGAAATGTCAACAACAAAAATAGGATCTTGTGTTTGTGTGGTTGGGGAACCGGCAGGAAATTGGGTACCCAATTTTCACTCTCTAAAGTATTCTGCCACATGTCATTCATTTCAAACCATAAACATTGCATAAAACACAAGTCGTACTCTTATTGGTAACATTTGGTTAATTATAACCCACCGGTCAAAGACCTGACGTCAACATCAAATCAACATCCATATTTAGTTTTAACCAGGTTTAATTAAAACGTGATTTCACCTTGAAATAAACCAAACCTTGAAATCCTGTAATTGATTTGTGGTTGAAATATAGGTAAAAATGTTGACAAAACATAAAAAAAAAAAAAAAAAAGCATTAATATTCATCGTCAGGTGCGTTGAAATAGGACTTTCACAGAACGTTAATTCAGTGGTTTTGCCAGATGGGAAAGGGCTTCTTATCCATCCTCGGTACATGTTACAGTGCTATGTGCTTTTACTGTGGTTTGGTAGAATATTGCTTATTGTGTTTTTCTTGAGCTTTGACAATAAAAATATAAACCAGTACCTACTCGTCTTGTCAGAGGAGGCATTTATTGTTGTCTTCATTTCTCAAATACTGTACCCACAGCCTGACAGCCATCCTAAATTATGTTTCAATTTACAGGTCAAAATAGATTTTTTATCTCAAGGAGACAAACCTGGATCAAGAAAAGGTTAAATAAACGTCCTATCCTGGTCAGTTTCGGATGTATTCTGGGCCTGTATCCACAAAGCCTATCAGAGTAGGAGTGTATATCTAGGATCTGTCCTTATAATATTATTCATTATGATCTAAAAGGCTAAACTGATCCTAGATCAGTACTCCTACTCTGAGACACTTTGTGAATACAGGCCCAGATCATTGTGTGGGTTCCTGTATCACATCCCGGAGCAGATTTTACTAAATGGTCTTTGCCACCACCTTGTGGAGTATGTATCACCCTGTATCAACCAATCAACCAATGAAATAAACACCACTGGACTTTTATAAATTAGCCTACAAACCTGCAAAGTTATTTACAAACTTAACTATTGACATATTCATGTATACCTTACAAATTAATACACTACCTTATTATGTATTTTTCAGCCACATCTAACATACAGTATTATCTATAGTGAGGGAAAAAAGTATTTGATCCCCTGCTGATTTTGTAAGTTTGCCCACTGACAAAGAAATGATCAGTCTATAATTTTAATGGTAGGTTTATTTGAACAGTGAGAGACAGAATAACAACAAAAAATTCCAGAAAAACACATGTCAAAAATGTTATAAATTGATTTGCATTTTAATGAGGGAAATAAGTATTTGACCCCCTCTCAATCAGAAAGATTTCTGGCTCCCAGGTGTCTTTTATACAGGTAACAAGCTGAGATTAGGAGCACACTCTTAAAGGGAGTGCTCCTAATCTCAGCTTGTTACCTGTATAAAGACACCTGTCCACAGAAGCAATCAATCAATCAGATTCCAAACTCTCCACCATGGCCAAGACCAAAGAGCTCTCCAAGGATGTCAGGGACAAGATTGTAGACCTACACAAGGCTGGAATGGGCTACAAGACCATCGCCAAGCAGCGTGGTGAGAAGGTGACAACAGTTGGTGCGATTATTCGCAAATGGAAGAAACACAAAATAACTGTCAATCTCCCTCGGCCTGGGGCTCCATGCAAGATCTCACCTCTTGGAGTTGCAATGATCATGAGAACGGTGAGGAATCAGCCCAGAACTACACGGGAGGATCTTGTCAATGATCTCAAGGCAGCTAGGACCATAGTCACCAAGAAAACAATTGGTAACACACTACGCTGTGAAGGACTGAAATCCTGCAGCGCCCGCAAGGTCCCCGTGCTCAAGAAAGCACATATACAGGCCCGTCTGAAGTTTGCCAATGAACATCTGAATGATTCAGAGGAGAACTTGGTGAAAGTGTTGTGGTCAGATGAAACCAAAATCGAGCTCTTTGGCATCAACTCAACTCGCCGTGTTTGGAGGAGGAGGAATGCTGCCTATGACCCCAAGAACACCATCCCCACCGTCAAACATGGAGGTGGAAACATTATGCTTTGGGGGTGTTTTTCTGCTAAGGGGACAGGAAAACTTCACCGCATCAAAGGGACGATGGATGGGGCCATGTACCGTCAAATCTTGGGTGAGAACCTCCTTCCCTCAGCCAGGGCATTGAAAATGGGTCGTGGATGGGTATTCCAGCATGACAATGACCCAAAACACACGGCCAAGGCAACAAAGGAGTGGCTCAAGAAGAAGCACATTAAGGTCCTGGAGTGGCCTAGCCAGTCTCCAGACCTTAATCCCATAGAAAATCTGTGGAGGGAGCTGAAGGTTCGAGTTGCCAAACGTCAGCCTCAAAACCTTAATGACTTGGAGAAGATCTGCAAAGAGGAGTGGGACAAAATCCCTCCTGAGATGTGTGCAAACCTGGTGGACAACTACAAGAAACTTCTGACCTCTGTGATTGCCAACAAGGGTTTTGCAGAGGGGTCAAATACTTATTTCCCTCATTAAAATGCAAATCAATTTATAACATTTTTGACATGCGTTTTTCTGGATATTTTTGTTGTTATTCTGTCTCTCACTGTTCAAATAAACCTACCATTAAAATTATAGACTGATCATGTCTTTGCCAGTGGGCAAACGTACAAGATCAGCAGGGGATCAAATACTTTTTTCCCTCACTGTACATAGAATATTAACAAATAAATGTAATAAGCATCTGACTAATCGGTTATTTGGTTATTTGCAGTGGTGTAAAGTACTTAAGTAAAAATACTTTAAAGTACTACTTAAGTCGTTTTTCTGGGGTATCTGTACTTTACTTTACTATTTATATTTTTGACCCTGCTATATGGTACAGTACATGCAGCCTACATTTAAACCAGGGCCAGGGCTGGAGTGAACACCTACAGTTGGGTATCTCTCCAGGAACAGGACTGGAGAGAACACGTACAGGAGGGTATTTCTCCAGGAACAGGACTGGAGAGAACACGTACAGGAGGGAATGTCTCCAGGAACAGGGCTAGAGAGAACACCTACAGGAGGGTATGTCTCCAGGAACAGGGCTGGAGAGAACACGTATAGGAGGGTATGTCTCCAGGAACAGGTTGGAGTGAACACGTACAGGAGGGTATGTCTCCAGGAACAGGTTGGAGTGAACACGTACAGGAGGGTATCTCTCCAGGAACAGGGCTGGAGAGAACACCTACAGGAGGGTATCTCTCCAGGAACAGGACTGGAAAGAACACGTACAGGAGGGTATGTCTCCAGGAGCAGAGCTGGAGAGAACACGTACAGGAGGGTAGGTCTCCAGGAACAGGGCTGGAGAGAGCACGTATAGGAGGGTATGTCTCCAGGAACAGGTTGGAGTGAACACCTACAGGAGGGCATCTCTTCAGGAACAGGGCTGGAGTGAACATATACAGGAGGGTATGTCTCCAGGAACAGGGCTGGAGAGAACACGTACAGGAGGGTATGTCTCCAGGAACAGGGCTGGAGTGAACACCTACAACACCTAAAAACATGAAAATGGTGCCGTCTGGTTTGCTTAATAAAAGGAATTTGAAATGATTTATACCTTTACTTTTGATTCAAAAGTATATTTAAAACCAAATATTTTTTTTCACTTTTACTCAAGTAGTATTTTACTTGGGGACTTTGGGTCATTTTCTATTAAGGTATCTTTACTTTTACTCAAGTATGACAATTGGGTACTTTTTCCACCACTGCCTACAGGAGGGTATCTCTCCAGGAACAGGGCTGGAGAGAAGACGTACAGGAGGGTATCTCTCCAGGAACAGGGCTGGAGAGAAGACGTACAGGAAGGTATCTCTCCAGGAACAGGGCTGGAGAGAAGACGTACAGGAGGGTATCTCTCCAGGAACAGGGCTGGAGAGAACACGTACAGGAGGGTATCTCTCCAGGAACAGGGCTGGAGAGAAGACGTACAGGAGGGTATCTCTCCAGGAACAGGGCTGGAGAGGCCTGGTTTAAACTGTGATGCGGAGTATGTCCAGTAGGTGTCATCAGCCGTCCAAAAGAAAGGATCACAGCAGGCTAAGGTTTCATAGGACTATCGGATGGATGAGAGGGCCTTGAGCGACAAGCCAAGTTGGGCAGGTAGCCTAGCAGTTAAGAGCGTTGAGCCAGGAGCTGAGATGTCGCTGGTTCGAGTCCCGAAGCCGACTGGGTAAAAAGTCTGTCGATGTGCCCTTGAGCACGGCACTTAACCCTATTGCTCTTGTAAGTCTGCTAAATGACATTGACACTCTTACAGTAGCAACATCTATCCATCTATCCATCTATATTTGATGGTGATGACCACAGAGTCAATATAGGATAAGATTTATGACTATATGTGTGAAAACAAAAATAGAAGACAACATCATAAAAAAATCCACAACAGTGACGATTCCTATTTTGGATACCTCTGCACAGTGCTGTGTGGCATTGCTGTGTGGCAGGATTTCTGATGTCATATTGACAGACTTTATGAAACATTTTAAGGCCTGCCATAAAGTTACTGTATAGAATGAAGCTACTGTAACTAGTCTGTGTGAGAATGCGTTCCCTCACAGTCAGTGCCGTGCCGGTACACTGCTGCACTTCCATACACGTCAGGTAGTAAGCCTAGTCGTACAAAGTAGTATAAAGGTCTGAGGGATGTCCTGTACTGAAGACCACAGCCGTCGGTGTTATTCAACAACAAAATCGTAGGAATGAAAGAAGCCAATGTGACCGTGGCCGTTCTGTGCTCTCTTCTCCTCTACCTTAGCCAGAGGCCCCCCATCCCACCAGAGGTTCCTTCATTTTGGAATTATGGCCGTGGAGAGAGGGGCCTCGTTACCTTCAAAGGGCCTCTGAAAAGCCAAATGACGTCTCAGCACATCTATCATGGAGCTGTGTTCCCATACAGTCATAAAACAGGCCCAGAACCACCTGTGACTTCTGACCCGAGCTATTCCCCCAGCCCGATGTTACAGGAAAGCCATAGCCTGTGGCAACATGCCCAATTCAAAGCATTCCCCTCGTGTTTTTCTTTTCAGGGGTATACGTGGCTTAATTCAATACATCATTTTAACAGGTACCCCTTGTCCACAGTGCACATAAATACTGATGCTTTCCAGATGATGGCTGACGGAAAAAGGCCCTAACCCGTCTGCTATCAATATGTCAGTGAGCTCGAACAGGACCTGACTCTTCACCTCTCCGTCTCGGGAGAGAACAACAGCCAGGCCTTTTTAGTACCTCTGGGTGCAGTTGCTGCGAACAGTCATATTTCACACTGAGAACAATTTATGCATATACTACTCTGCAAAAGTATTCAGACCCCTTGGATTTCTTCACATTTTATTGTGTTACAAAGTGGGATTAAAATTGATTTATTTGTTAGTTTTTGTCAACAATCTACACAAAATACTCTGTAATGTCAAAGTGGAAGTAAAAAAAAAAAGATTAATAAGAAATTAATAACTAAAATATAGTAATTGCATAAGTATTCAACAACTTCGT